CGCCGGGAGGAAGGGACGGCACGGCCGGCGGTGGATTGGGGAAGAAAATTGGGGCACCGAAAGGAAGGGAGACAAAAATCAGAGTTTCAGGGTATGTGAAACATATGGGCAATTTACACTCAATCATCTAATTGACGAGGCCTGACAATCTCTCTGTTTTTATTCTCCAAAAAGAATTTGCAAGGGATTACCACGATTTATTAAGCTGTTTGTCAAGACTCATGGCTCTAGTGATGTCCTTTAGAGAAGAATGTAACCCAAAGTTCTTTCCGGTCCCTCCATGGCAACAGTTACCCGTGAAAACTGCCAGCAAGCACGAAGTTGTACTTCAGCAACTGTCATAAGCCTCTACAAGTACCTTCAACTTAGAAAGTACTTTCTTCTTCTTCCTTCAGCTGCCCATGTGCACGCAACCAGTCATCCTAACTGAAAGCCAAGTTTATTCAAAAAACAGCAGAAGAAACAAGAGAGGAAATCTCCAAGAAAAACATTTTAAAACATAAACCCAATAGGATAATCAGCAGAAAAATGTAGCCATCTTAATGATTAAATATACTGATCAGCAGAAGATAAAAATCTGGTGCAATGGGAAGCACTCTTCCTCAGCGACTGTTTGCTCTCCTGCCTGTCTGCTCAGTGTCCCCTAAGACAATTTCTTAAAAAGCAGCATGTCAGCTTCAGAACTAACAGATATGGCCGCTGGGGTTAGTAATTCAGGAGTCTAGTAATATTCTAGCTTTACATCACCACATGAAAATATAATAGCAATATAAACCAGTGTGGATCAAGCCAGTTATCAATGTAACTTGAATGTAGACTCTAATCCACCCAAAAAATTTTTAGATATCATCTTTGGTGAACTACCTAATTCCAGTCCTACAAGCTTATTTTCACATACTTACTGTCACAAATTTCATGGAATGTTTTGCCACTAGTTACAATGGTATCAGGATTCAACCTGCAATATTAATCTAAGAGCCCAGGCCAGCCATCACTTCACTCCCAAAAACTCCACTGAAGTCAACAGAAGACTCCCATTACACACTACTGACAGAACCCAGAGGTAAAAACGACTCTTCCAAAAAAAATTAAATGAACAGACTATGAATATAACATAACGAGTTCCCTGTAGTTGACAGCTTGTGGGCTACTTCCCAACATTTTTATTTTAGAGACTGTTGTGTAAAGTAATGAAGTAAGTGCCTTCAAGGTGTACGCTGGGGCGAGGGATAGTAACAGAAAAACATCTTTTGCCTCATTAAAACATACCACCACAACAGAAAGAAGGAAAGCGGGTAACACCCCTTGTCGCTCTAACTTAAAGCTATCCACTGTTCCTGGATTTCATTACCTTCTGTTTATTAAATATCTGTTCTGTAATGAATAAATACTAATATTTTTGAAGGAAGTAATTTGCCAGAAGAAAAAGGAACAGTACAGCAAATGCATGTGCTGTCAAACTCTTGTGGTGTAGACAGAGAACTTTCAAATATCTATTCCTATGGTTTGCAAATACAGGCTGTCTGATGTAGCCGTGATACCTGGAGATTTCAAAAGTATTTTTGTGAACCAAGACAAAGTCACAATTTTAGTATTATGAAAATTGGAGAATGCCATAAAAAACATTGCAATTACATCTAATTTAGAATGGGATATTAAAAAAAACCACCACAAACTTTTATACATACAGAGATAAGGAAAAATATTGTGAAGGTAGTGGCCAATCGTGAACTAAAAGCAATCCCCTGCCACATTTTTCTTTGCAACAACTAAAAATTTTGAAGAGAACGTCTCACCACACTAGCATTTCCCACAAAAAAAAAAAAAGCGCATTACATTAAAGCAGAACAACACGTATTTCAGCATTTTAACCACTGAGGATTAACATAATTAGTCTAACATAAATTTTCAAACAGAAAATTGTAGGAAAAGATAGAGAATGCTATGACAGTCAAATTTTAGATCTAGTCAGTTTACTTGTAACCTTGGTTCTTTTAAGCAATTTTTAGGTTATGTCTACAGTGCAGCTGGATGTGAGATAAAACCAAAACTACATAAATAGTTACTTGATATGGAGGAGCTAGCTGAGGTAACAAGGCAGTGAAGATGCAGATGAAGAGACCTGAAGGTGCATTAAAAATTTATGCATGTAATTCAGGTGCTCTAAGGAGGTTTGTACAGCCCCTATTGCTGCCTCTTCTCTGCTATGGTTACCAAATATAGCTCAGCAGCCAACCTCAGTTAGAAAAGGAAAGAACGTGGAAGAACGGATGATAACTAAGAGGTCAGAAAAATATAGAAAAACAATGCATAAAATGCTTACAATATGGAAAATCATTACTATGAGAAGTCAGACTGACAAAAATGAGTACGTTAGTACAGATAACAGAAGTATCCACTTTAATAGGTCTTCATTAAATAGGATGTTAAAATATCAGAATCAAATGCTTATGAGCAGAAGCCTATCTGAAACTCTTAAAAGCTATACTGACTGCTGTGATATTTTCTACATCCTCTTACTCGGTTCCTGCATCTTCCTCAGGTACAATCTCATGCTGGATATTGGTGGTAATGGGATTCTGGACTAGATGGGTCTAGGCGAATTGAATCAATCCCATAAAATCCCACACAAATACATTTTGACTGAGAGGTGAAATGCTTAGGTATCAATTTAGAGTTTTCTATCTTCCTTAACAGTAAACCGCTTCTACTGAAGCTGGAAGTTTTTCCACTCCCTAATATTTATATATTTGGGTAGTAGAGCTCCTACTTCCCATAAAACAAGACGATACCATTATGAGAAATCATCTGTGGGGAGTGCAGAGGTGAAAAAAAACAGTCACTGGAGCATGTTAATTTAACTGACTGGTGTTTGAGCTGTCTATACCTGGATATATAGCTTTAGTGACTCACCACTGGAATGGTAAAAAAACCCAACAATAGATTAATTTGCAAGAGCCACTTCTGAGAATTGTATTGCTTATTGGTGAGTAATTTGCCAAATTCTCTACGTATTGTCTTCCTTTGCACAGTTGTGAAAAATTCTACCATACAAAATCAAGGGGAATATTCTTAGGAAAAAACCTGCAATTAAACCACTTATTTTAAAAATCCTTCCAAGATACTACAATGTCTGTTTTGCCATTAGATTGTCTGTCCATTTTACAGTGAAGTTACTGGGAAAACATATCTCCATTCACCCTTGGAAGTCTCTCTGTTGAACTTTTCATAAGCTCTACTCCAGTTAAAAAATAAATGGGGAAACAATAAGTGCAAATACAAATGTTAATTGTGTAATTCCTAGCCCAAATCTTAGAAGGACAAATTCTTCTGCGGAATGAAAACATCAGATATGCTAATGACTTCATAAATCATGCTTTTCAATAATTTTATTTTTATATGGAATTATCCATGCAATTAATATTCCTGTTTTCTACTAAAATATTGTTGAAATCGGACATTATTTGAAGTGCCTGCATGAAAAATACATATGGCATCCATGTGTATACAGCAGTGGAATCATTAATACTGATGCTTTGCAAAGAGTTGATAGTGATGGAACACTTGCAAGTGCTGTTCCTAAACAATGATGCAGTCAAGAATGTACCAGTTCTCCAGGGTGTTAAATTGATAAACATTTGCATAACAGGCACTTCTATTTTTCTTTCTGTGATTAATACAAACAAGATGATAAGGGAAAATAAAGGTAAAATTTGCTGCTATTTCTCTTTAGTACAAAAACCCCTTGTGCCCCTATTTTGCTTTAATATGCTTTATTGAAATTTCTTCACATATATTAAATTAGTTTTAACACTTTAACATGACAAATAGGGGTTATTACATACCAATACAGCATTCCAGCATTCCATTTCAATGTAAAATGAACATAATTATAGCAATTTTTGGCTTCACCATCTTGCAGTAATGGAGGCCTGTATCTTTTGCAGAAACAACTTGTATATTTATTTTCTGTGATTTTTTTCATGCTAACCTTTGTTTCCAGAGGTAAATTTACCAAGAATCATAATATGTTATAAAGCAATATAAACTAGTCTGTTGCATTTAATTATTTAATGACTATCTCAGTATCCACACTAAGAGAAAAACAAATGCAACATATATAGCTAGATAAAATAGATCAGTAAGTAGTATTCTTACCAAAGGCCTAAGTTCTGGATGAGTCAAAATATATCCGTTGTTTGTAATTGCAAAAGCGTATCCATGAATACCTAACTGTAAGAGTAAATGAGAAAGAAATGCTAATTGGCATGGTCTCCATTAAATTCTTAAAAAAAAAAAAAAATCAGACAAGAATTCAGTTATCCGGAGCTTAAAGCTGGCATTCATAACCCTTATCCACACAGTATTCCATTATAACATGAGCAAAGCTCTGATCCTTGCCATTTTGTGCAAATGAGAACCTGGCATTGTGGTGAATTCAGCATACAGCACAATTTTTACGTGTCACCCATGCTTGGCTACCTAGGGCACTTGTTTCTATGTGCTTTGCAGAGCGAATCAGATGTATACATGAGACACTATAGCACGGGCCAAAGCAAAGGGATGCTGGAATTTAGTAAATTCACACATTCCCAGGGGTGGCTAGGTTCAGCTTACTTCAGTTGTGCCAGCGATGTTGTATAGAATCATTTAAAGCCAGTAGCACTGAATGTACAGCTACAGTGAGCAAGCAGTGGCCTATCATACGTGATAGTTACGTCTACCAGTCTTGAAGGTATTTTACCTGGCTGTTAATTCAGGTTCATCTGGAGCCACAGAAGGCGGCATATTTCTACTAAAGAAGCTCATGTAGTTTACATGTTTGTACCGAGTGGAACTATGTGAGCTCATTTGAGAGCAATGAAATGCTTTATGAGGCCTAACGGTGTATCTAATCAAATTTAGCACTGTACTTATTCAAATAACAATACTACTCTTAATAATAGGCCTATTACACAGCTGATTGCACCCACTGAATGCAATAAATGTACCTTCAAAGTCATTCATGTGGTCATTCAAATATCCCTTCTTGGTATAAATTTGCTGCTAATGTAGAACTTTCTGCAACTTCAGTATGTAGCTTTTACCATGCAAAGGGTACATCTCACTATACTTTCTCACCCATTTTTTTTCGGTTCTGAAATAACATAATATCCTATATATTTTTATTTAAGCATCTTGATGCACTGAGGTATTTAAAAAAAAAAATCAACTAACCAATCCCCACCAAAACCAAATCCAAAACCCCAGAACTATCTTGCTTTGGCGTTTGCTTTACATTTCTCACTACTAGCAATCTTTTTATTTTACTTCAGTACATTCTTAAATGCTTGCTGAAGTGGGTTCTTAGGAATTTGTCTGGCATAAAGCAACATGAGCAAGGTTGACATGTCAGAATCATTTCTAAGATGCAAGTAGGACAGCAAGTCTGTTGGCTTCTGTAATTTTCTGGAAATATAAACCAGAGTATGATGTTATGGCAAGGTCATACAGAAAACATACCGGGTAGACTTACACCGTGTCTCTCCGTGAATGATTGTATATGGTCAACAGTATCTGCCTTATAGAAGATTGTTTCATAAATTAGCAGTTTTCCTAAAGCAATAAACCTCAGTGAAAGTAATACAAGGTGATATGTTCTTGGCATTTCTTCATAAAGAAGGGATAACCAAAATAATAACAGTGGACATATTTTACCTATTATGGTATGACAAGTGAACTAGCTGTTGGCTAAATATCAGATCTCAAGTACAATTTTCTGTGTTGATAACTGCAGAATGACATCCCAGCAATGGAAGTCAGGTAAGGAAACAAACGTGGGTGGTATACTTCACAGGAAAAAAATATTTGCCTATTTGAAGCATACCTGGATTCCAAGGGTAGCATTTTATTGCATGCTGTGCAATATGTGAACCTGCACACTCTCTGCACTTAAAATGCTTTGATTTGACAGATACTACCACTTGCAGCAGTATTGCCATGTTAAACTTTGAATTCTGTCTCTAAGTGACAGATTGAGAAATGAAAAAACTTTTTCTAACTGTGGAGGAATTCCACATGCAAACTAAGTATTACTAAATCCAACCCTACCTTATTCAGGAGAAACTGCCACTGACATCTGGGGAAGTTTAGTCTAGATAATGACTGCTGAAAATAGCTCATGGTTATTATTCATCTTCTTCAGCCATAAAATCCACCTCATCCAAGCCGAGAGAATTCCAGGTCAGCAGAATTCTATTTCCAACAAATCATTTTATATCCCTGTGTGAATTTTATTTCACATGCAGACTCTACAGGAATGGGTCCCAGGGGTGATTATGCTCTTGCAATTGCATGGTCTTTTTACTGTTCAGAAATGTTTATGGTATGTGAGACTGGAAGTTGTAACTCAAGTGATTTCACTAACCTAACTGTATTGCATGATATTGGTGCCTCCTGTAATAATCCTCTCTTGCATTACATCCTGCAATATAAAATGTACCTTCAAATAAAAAGTCTAATATTCAGAAAGAGGATTGTATATTATTTCCACAGAAAACTAAGTCTTAAAAAATATAATATCATATGATAAAACCAGAAATTTTAATCTCTTCTTTTCTGCATCACTCTAACGCTGCTGCAGTATCTGTTATTCAGGCCCCACACTCTCTCTAGGTTCTTGTATTCAGACTATGTCCAAATCTTACAGATGACTTCTTACAGAATAACATCGCTGTGATATGGTTTTTCTATGCAGCCATGCACAGCCGGGCTTTCATTTCTGTTATTACAACATTGTTCTTCCTTCTCCTTACAAATGAAACTTGCTCTACCCGTAGCTCCTTAAGAGGCTGCTCCAAAGATTGTTTTCATTGCACTAAATTTTGCAAAGGAGCGAATTTCGATCCTTTCTCTTTTAGTGCCTACGGATCCTGTATTTCTGCATACACAAAATGTAAGTTGCGGTTAACTAACTCTGATGGTTAGTGTGCTGAGACTGTTCTCTGTTATTTATCCTGACCAGCAATGTCTCTGTTCACTACGTTCTGATCTCAGTACGTTGTCACCTGCTGCCTCTTCCCATAGTCTGCAACCTTTTTTCTAGTTGGGACAGCCTTTCTGTTCTCTGTTGGCATAGCATCTAGCCTAGTGGGATCCAGGTCCCAGGAAATTACTCCAATACAACTTATCAATGTTATTGCCAGTAGTTTATGCATTATTTTTATCAAATTCTCATTTAATTTAAACTTTCCAGTTATTGCATATTGATCTACAAAATAATTTAGCTATTCCTAATGCATCCAAATTAGAATTAAAATTGATAGGTGGACTTTTTTTCCTCCTAACTAGAATTATCAACAAAAACATGTAGGAATATACAAAGGCACTCACAAGTTAGCTTATTCCTTCACCCTCTTAGAAATCAGTAAAGGAGAGCATGGCAGCCAATTAAGAGGAAAGCATGACATACAAATTTATGCTCTGTACAGGTACATGTCAAAATGCAGCTATTCCAATAGCTGGCCTCTTTAGTAAAGGCTGTCCACGGTATTGTGTTACGTGCATATTTGTCTTGCAAAAAGATTCCGCTAGGAATTAACTGGAAAACATTCACTTAATTTTCATTTGTGAATAAAACAGCACTAGAGTAAAGCATTTCAGACAGAGAGAACTAGTGAAATACTAATGTATTGCATCAAATTTAAATGAAAAGTAATTATATCTTTGCATTTGCCTGAAGCCTACAAAGGTTTTGGAACAGATGAAGTGCATCAAATTTTGAAAACTTTTATGATAATTACTTTTAAATAATTTTATAGTAGAGTTGTCTCAGACTTTGGAAAACTAAGTAAAGGAAAATATCTAGCAAATACTGGGTAGTAGAGAATGAAACACCAGTCTGGTTAGGCAGGAACTAAAGCCATGTTAGGGATAGATTTTCGTACTGTTTCCATGGAAAGTTATGCAAATTTTCAGCATGAATTTTGGGTTATTTTTGTGTGATTTAATAATTGCATTGATTACATAATTTCTTGAGCACACTGTACTCTAGAAAAAAAAAAATTGCACTTCATCTCAGGACCAATGACATTTAGCCAGACAATACAGAGCTAAAATTCCTGAGTTTTCCTCAGGAATTTTATTTTAGTGAAATAATGGAGCTACGTCAGTATAAACAATATTAATGTGCTAAATAAATTATGTTATATTATAGATACTAGTCTGAGGATGAATGAAATATTATCATTTGTATATTACCTTGTATTTTGGAATAGTTTTTAGAAGTTCTTTAACTGGAACATCTGTGCCAACTACTCCCAGAAGTATCCCTTTAGATCTCTGAAAAGAACAATAGAAGATGTACTTGGAGCCACAATAATAACGAGCATTCTCACCACTCATTTCACATTGCAGCTATTCTGCAGAAGTGAACAGATAACAGACAAACTATTTAAGAAGTGGGGGAAGCAGAGGCTGGTACAAGTCATCTGATCAAATAGTAATTTAATCAATAATATTGCTCCTTTCTACTTTATCTGCAATTTACATAGAAAAGGCATGCAAACCTTTGATAGCTGAGTCCACCAACAGAAAACCTCCTCATGCAAAATAGTTTTTGAATTAAAAACTACTTTTAAAAATATGTTACTCTCTTCTTCCCCAATTTCTGCTGTCATAAAAGACAATGATTAAGCATTAAGGGAAATGTACATGTAATTTTTTAATAACGTGTTAAATTAGTAAATTCTGAGTCTATGAAATAGAAGCATATCAGTGCAAAGAAGAAAAGAATATAGATTACTTTATGTAAAACGTAATACAGAAGTAAGAAAACTCTCAGGCCTAGCATCATCTGAGATTTTCTCTTAGGTGTAGGGTTACATTATTTTACTATGGTTTCTACAGAATAGTTACTTGTTATTCTTTGTCCACATTTTTATGCTAAGGATGAGATACTAACTGCAGACAAAACAAGAAGAAAAATTTTTAGAGTAGGCTTAAATCTAATTAGGTCCCTGAAAGCAATTTCACTGCAGTCACCCCTTTTCCACATGACAGAAATAGTCTGAGTACTTACAGTCTCATTTTGCTTACTAAATACTGGCATGGCAACAGTTGTCATCAACACCAATCCCTGATCATCAGCAAGCTATATGTGAAAAAGAAGTGTTATCTCTAAGAACTAAGGAACAATTACACACATGGGATTGCATTTTTCAATTACATTCTCTTCATTTTAAATGAGATAAGGCAATTTATCTAAATGACTTATGTAGGTAAACTTGCAGTCAGTGCAGCCCCGCCCAGCCCCTGCCCCATCTCAGCCATACCAGCTCTGCCCACCCCACCATCTGCGCTGGCAGGAAAGGTGCCTCATCTTCATTCCTACTGAGGTCTCCCATGAGAGATAGGAAGGGGCTGAAACGCGGATTGTGGAAGCAGCATGTGCGGTAGCAAAGCAGCTGGAGCTCTGTCCTGCATCTTTCCCAGTGGCAGTTCTGCCAACATTGCCTCAGGCTGTTTTCTCCCAGCAAGGAAGAAGAGGTCATGAGTTGCATGCACTTTGTTTTTGGTCCAGACTGAGATCGCATCAGCTAACACAGCAGCAGAAAGGATGACAGCCAGTTAGGATCCCAGGAGCATCTTTGCTCCAGCCAGTTTCAGTTTGCTGGACAAAGAGGTGGCATGAAGCATTAGCTGATTCTGCACATCAGGTTTCAACATATTTCTTCAATTTAGGGAGAAAACAAATCTCCTGATATTGGTTCTATTCAAGAGAAACATGTAGAATGCTTATCACCGGCCACAGGACAGTGACATTGCTCAAACTATCTTCTCTTCACGCTCTCTGGCCAGACTAGATCTTTGCCATAAGGCAAAGGCTAACTGCTCAAGACAAGCACTGCGCTGTGTGCCTGTAGATCGTCACCATCTACATATAAAAGATAACTCAAGCAGGAAGTTGAGAGTTACTGTTAAACTTTTTCTGCCCTTGTAATTTTGGAAGATGTTTAAAGTTGAAGAGGCTTATCCGACATTTAAAAGCATGACAGATCTCCAGTTATAATAACATGTGGAGATTCTGCAGAACACAAAGTCTGCTTTGTCGCATCTCTGTTTAGCCAAACGGACAAGGCAATAAAGACAACCTTCCAGAGAAATACTGTAGGTGACAGTCATGCCCAATTGCAACTGTGATATTCTCCTACTACCCCTACATCAGTATCACATTTTCTGTACTCAGGCAGTATTTCCAGTACTTTTTTTTGAGAATTGTTTCAATTTTGGTTTTTCGTTAACAAAGCTTTTGTTATTAGTGAAGCAACAGCTATCAACTCCCCAAGTTTTCAGAACACAAGTCATATATTATGACCAAGACATTTTATGAAGCATGTTTCACATTAACAAATCAGACAAATAACATCTAAAACATTACATGTCTTGCAGTTCCCAGTCTGCTTCGGACGGGTTTCAGTTTCCCAAACAAGTATATTTCCTGAAGCATGGCACTACCTCATGGTGAGGAATGTTTGCAGACATCAGACAGGAACACAAATGGGGGGTAAGGTCAAGAAGGTTTACATCTGATAAGGAATCAATAGGGACATGAGGTGGAACCAAGTTATGGGTTTTCTCATTTGCTTTTGTTCTCCTTTTTAATAAGGAGATATATTTCCAGCCCTGATATAATCCTTGATCTATTAATCAATAGTAAGTTATTAAATAGAACAACCAACAAAAAAGCCCAAACCAACAAAGAAAAACACCAAAAAGCCCTCAGCAAAACACTGGAAGTTCAGAGGTTGCACTTGAAAGTCAGCTGCAGGTGAGTTAGTGCAAGAATTTCCTCTCCTTGGCCAGAGTAGTACAGTCTAGCACGCTGACGTGATTTGTATGGAGAGGAGCCTTCTGTGGTATGACAATCAATAGTCCCAAACACATGTGTGCCAGGAAGTGAAAAAGCATTCTGCTGATTATGGGGTGACATCTTGGAGCGTTTAGAGATTTTATATGATTGCCCAGGGTGGTTGTTCTCTGACAGTATGTATTTGTCAAGTATCGGTACGATATTGTTTTACTCGCTCTCAAGGGATTACCAGAAACAATCTGTTGGATGGGATGCCAGCCAAGGGACTGTCAGTAAAGTTTTAGGGTGTTAGAAAATCTTTAAATGGAGGGGTGGGGGCGGAAAAAAAATCTGGAGTTCCTGAGAAATTCTGAGAGAACAGGTAATTATCTCTCAAAAGTAACTATGGAAGCATGCAGAGAATGATTGCCCTGCAATTATCATATCTACAAGTACCACCAAGAGTTGGCTACCGCAATCATTTCTATAGAAGTGCAATTTATAGTCCAGCCTGTTTGGTTTGTTGTTTGTCTGGAAGATGAACAGGTTGTTGGTCACTTCTAAAGTGGAGTCAGCAAATAACTGGATGATAGATGACTTGTATTTGCGATGTTTCACTGAGTCACCGGCTCCAACTGCATTATTTGCTTCACAAAAATTGTTAGATTGTGAGGAATTATCTGCTAGGGAGCACCACAGCTTTATTCCCTGGGCAATGACATTTTGGCAGAAATACTTTGAAATAGTAGAATGTTAGCCACTGGGTACTTCTGCTAAGATGATTAATGCTAGAGTTCATTAATAAATTGCAAAAGAAGCCATGATATAGGTATTCTGCATTGTTGCTTTGCAAGTCTGACAATTTCCTACACATAACAGAACTCTGACAGCTTGTGCAAGTGTTTGAAAAATTTAGTGATTCTGAGAAAAAAACACACGCAATATGCTCTCTAATAATGATAAAACTTCAGCTTATATTAGTTACATTCAGAGTGACCATGTATCACTGAAATCCTGGCTAGGATTTTTTTTTAATCATCAGCAAATACTTAATTAGAAGTTAACACTTAATGAAAAATGTTAAATATCACAAACTCAGAATAACAAAATCAATATATAATGATAAAGTCTCTGAATGACTGTACTAAATTTAAAAGTTCAGGTTATTGTGTAATTAGTAATAAACTCTTTGGTTACTCAATTATTATTTGTTTTTCCCCAAAAGAAAATGTAGACAATCCTCATGATTCCCAAACTCATCAACTGGACATCACAAAGTCATAGGCTCAGAAAAAAAATTCTGTAGGCATGTAAAAAAGAAAGTACTGTAGTCAAACATTTCTTACAGGAAACATCTTGAAGAATGATTTTTTTTAATTTTTTTTTTTAAATAAGCACAAAATGATTTTTTCTAAGCAGGCAAAAAATAATTTAGTTACACATAGAATCGGGGGGGGGTGTTTGTGTTATTAGCAAATACAGAGAATGATACTTATCCTAATTAATGCAATAATGTCACCAGATGGATGGTTAGTAGTTACATACAGTGAAGGGACTGAAATGTGAAGCACCATTAATTTAATCTCAATAGTTAAATAGGCTGTACCTTACCCAATTTTGTCCTTCCAGTTTCTTAAGGAGTAACTAATACTAATAGTTACTGCCATTTTTACAAAGGTATGCTTCACGTGGCATGATAATTCCCCACAGTCTGATGATTCAAAAGTGTTTAAAGCTGCATGTTAAGCTTACTTGGTTCATCCTTACTAACCCCCACTATTCTGGCGTTGGCAGGGTTCATGGGAAACAAAAAGTAAAGTTTGACAAAAATACAGTCACACAATGTTATGTTTATTATGTATATGGTTTCTACCGAAACAAAATGTTGCTGGCAGACCAACTGTTTTCACAAATAAGGATTAATTTGGACCAAAGTTCACACAAACTTTGGAACCTCGTCTAAATATATATGCAGAGCCACTAAGAACTTTCAATTCCTTCAACACTCTGTTCTGAATTCTTGTTCTGTTCTCAAAGAAGACCCCCTCATTTCTTTTCCTTCTCTCTACTACTATATTGATGCGGGTTTTCTCCCAATGCTTAATAATATATCTTTACACATCAGTCTCAGTATTAACAAATCAAGTCCCTTTCTATTTCTTCAATCTTTATATCCCTGATAAGTGCCTAAGCTTTTTCTTTGCCTGGGTCACCATATTAGTTAACCCACATAGGCTCTGACTGACATTAAAGCCTTGTCTCTTACCTATTTAGCAGCGTATCAATTACCACATTTCTATTTCCTTCAACTGGTTACATAATATCAAGAAAAAAGCAAGGAAAAAAAAAAGCTGCTTCATCCCCAACCCTCCAGGAAAATAAAAATTCCACTGGCAAGCTCCAACACTCGAGGCTACCAACAGATGTGAACCAAGGAAAAGGTATGCGCTTTGAAGTGCCTTTCGAAATGTTTTATTGCTCAATATTCTTTGGTATAAAATTAAACAATATAAGCAGCACCATTCAAACGCATCTAAACTCTTCCCAGATTCAGTACATCATCCTGCAGTGTATAAGGGGGAACCAAATCAAAATTGGTGGAATAGTACAAAAACAGTCTCAAATAATTATTTTGTTGGATATTGATGCCATTTCCCGGGGAAGAAATTTTCAAAGACGCTTCAGGAAGTTTAGTTTCCAAATTCAACTGACCTCTACCAGGACTTGGGCATCTAATTTCATTTGGCCTTTGAAAATTCTAGACAACTATTAATTGTTGTTGCCTTTTTAGGAATATTGGCAAAATATAACCATAAAGTAATCACTGAAGAACAGTTTAACAGTTCTATGCCAGTGATGATATCTGTGCACCAACTCAGAATTTTGTTCCACTTAAATGTATCTGCATAAACAAGCTTGTTAAGGTCCCTTGCGATTTTTGAAGAAAGTACATCCTGGTTTCATAAGTGGATGTGAATTCCAGTTTCTTCAAATTCTTGGGTTTGGAATACTGTGAACAGAAGGAAACTAACACAAATGAAAGATAAGAATTGAAGAGCAATGCTTAAGGCATTGTAAGATGCTTCAGTCAGCAAATTAAAATTAGCCAAATTAAAATGAAATGAGAAAATAAATATAAGGATCCAAAAATGTTTTACAGAAAAATAGAAACAGAAAAACATGTGATAAATTACTTACAGCTTTTTAAAAAGGTATTACAGGTATCAAAGTCACTTCCTTAAAGAGTAATTTCTTTAAAGAGGCAAGTGCGGACAGGCCTGTATTATTTATTTATATTCATA